ATACGTGAAACAAGGTGCATGCTCCTGCACTTTCTGACTGCAGCAACTATATTCCTCAAGCCAGTCAGTGGGGCTGTTTTCCATGATGTATAAGGGATACAATCAAAAGCCTGGGGCTTTAATTACACACAGTCTATCTTGAGTATCATAAGCAACCAACCACTAATTATTTCAAGTGCTGGTGCACTTTGCTCCTGCTTATATGGTAATATAAAGACCCGAAAAATGAAAACACACCAAGAGCTAGACCCAGTGATGAGGGAATGAATAGAGAGAGCTTTCAACCCCAATCCCTGGGCGTAAATTACGTAACAATATAGTAAAATATTCATGGAGCACCATGGGGACGGAATCCTGGCTGCTCTGAAGTGCTGAGCAAACACTCCACCCTCAGCCACTTCTCCACTAAGGAGGATAAGGAAAAACCCATAAGCAACGAGCTGAGAAACAATTGCAGTGATCAAGATTGCAAGCAGCACCGGTTCCAATATGTTGAGTCTGCATTCTTTCATTTGTGTGCCCTGTCAATCAAATTATTAGGAGAACGCAATGAAATAACTTGAGTTACACATAAAGCCGAAAGTAGCTTCTGAAATGATCACTCATACACCAATGTACAATGTACTGGAGGTCAAAGGGACTCATCAGCATCATCATTCAGCTTCAGCCCAACATCTCAGGTGAACATAAAAGACATAAACTGAAAGAAGCTACACCGAGTGTTTGTCACCAGAAATGGTGTTGTGGAACCTTCCTTACCACACAAAGGAGCCCCACTTGTGTTTTTATGTGATGTTAATGATGGAGAAAAACAGTCTGAATGTGATGAGCAGTGCTGTGCGAAAGTAATACGTTAGCTTTACTTACCAGTAGTCTATATCCTTAAAGGAAGAAAGAGAGTGGCTTCCGATGGACCTCAATAACTTTTACACCCTGATTTTCAACAGTTTAAAACGCAAATAGTATTTGTTCGAAAAAGCTATGATGAAAGTTTATAGTTGCAGGTTTTTAATAGAACAACCAGCCTATGGCATACATACATGTTGTTACATGTTATATACATACTGTTTCTGCACCTGTTTTTAACTACAATCCCACAAACTGATTTGTCCACATCTGCCTTAATTAATTATTGCCTGCATGTCCCACACAATGCCTTTGAACAACTTTCAGGCAATGAGATTATTTTTTAGGGGTTTTCTTTTCCACTGGCACTACGAGAACATGAAAACCAGTGTTTCTTAAATTGCTGTACTTTGCCTTAAAGCATGGTAGGGGCTCTAAACATTATGGGTTCTTTTTTCTTTTCTTTTTTTAGCCACAGTAGTAGTACCTTGGAGCAAGGTACACCTGTATTATTTACGCAGACAAATACACTAAAATTCAGATCAACTGTTTTATTATACTATAACTTGCTATATTTAGCTAAACATCAGTTAACAGAGGAATCAAGTAATATACTGCAGGGGAGTATTAAAGAGGATGGTGGATATGATGGAGCGAACCTAAGCAAAATAGGAACATCCTGCTAAAATCATTTAAGTATTAAACACAAACATTGAATCCTAAATAGATAAATAAATTTATA